TTAATGTGGACCAATTTGAAAACAGGGCCCAAAATTAAAAATCTAAATACACGGTTAGATTCTGCATATAAAAGAACCCCAATAATTCAATTTTTGATAAAATTAAACAGTTTAATTTTTAGACCCTTTGGACCTCAATGTGAACCTATTTAAAAACGGGGCCCAAAATCCCAAATATAATTACATGGTTAGATTCAGCATATTAAAGAACCCTCAGAATTCGAGACTTACTATTAAACCCCATTGAAATTGGTAAAAAAAATAAGCAATTTATACAAAGTATTAGAAAAGTACTGTTGTTGACCCCTCTTTAGCCACTAATTCCTAAACGGTTATGGCCATACCTCCTAATTCAATCACAACAATCTTTTTTGGTATGGAACCTTGTGGTACAATTTTATAGAGATCCATAAACTTTTAATCAAGTTATTGTCCGGAAACTAGAAAATCCTTGTTCTCAAGTTTAACATAATTCCTAAACGATTAGGGCCATAACCCCTAAAATCAATCCCAACCTTCCTGTTGTGGTATGAATAAAATAGAATAGAATAGATTTTTTTTCCTAATCAAAGGGCTCATTACAAGCATATCAATCAAGTTGCAAATGCAGACTCCGTGTTGAAGGCCGTACTTTGACCTAAAATGGTTTACTTTTACAAATTGCGACTTGGATGGAGAGTTGTCTTATTGGCACTCATACCACATCTTCTTATATCTAAGACATTATAATTATGATAATTATACACATAACAGACAATAATTGTTCAACAATAAAAGGGGGAGTCAGTTCATGCAGTATACAAAGGAGGATAACTCCTAGTTCACATCAGGTATTCATAACTTAGTTTTAATAAAATATATATACCAAGAAATTTGTTTTGCATGCACACGTATAAAAATTGCAGTTTTTATCCAACGCAATCATAGGTTTGAACGTTGTTTTCAATTTAGACTTATGTATATTTTTTCGTTTGGGCTTGTATTATATTTGCCTTCGGGTTTATATTATCCGTTCATCCTATTTCGACTCTTCAAAATTCAAGAGTCTATCCTAAATTGAGGTAAATTATATGGCCTTCCAAATACCGTTTCGATTCCTAACATCACTGAAGAGACATTTATTGTCGAAATCCGGATATGGTGTACAAATTTTTGCACCTCATGTTTGCGTTATACCATCTTTTCCGCAAGTTTATTGTTTTCTGTTTGGTATTAAATTAATAATAAAGATCCATTTTGTTACATCATGTGATCCGTTTATTATTAAGAACATCCGTTGTTCGACCTGTTAGTCAAATGCGTTTTGTTTAAATATACTTTTTCACTTTTTTGGTCTTTTGGAAAATGTTGTTTGTGCTGTATTTAGACCCCTCTATCAAGAAATTTGTTTTGCATGCACACGTATAAAAATTGCAGTTTTTATCCAACGCAATCATAGGTTTGAACGTTGTTTTCAATTTAGACTTATATATATGTTTCTCTAATTCTTCGTCAATTTATCACTATATATATACAAGTCTAAATTGAAAACAACGTTCAAACCTATGATTGCGTTGGATAAAAACCGCAATTTTTATACGTGTGCATGCAAAACAAATTTCTTGTTAGAGGGGTCTAAATACAGCACAAACAACATTTTCCATAAGACCAAAAAAAGTGAAAAAGTATATTTTAACAAAACGCATTTGACTAACAGGTCGAACAACAAATGTTCTTAAAACCTGCTGACTGCCATTGGCGATTGCCAAATAAACAGATCACCGATGTAATAAATGGACCTTAATTATAAATTTAATACTAAACAGAAACCAATAAACTTGCGGAAAAGATGGTATACCGCAACAAAAGGTGCAAAGTTTTTTTTACACCATATCCGGATTTCAACAATTAATGTCTCTTCAGTGATGTTAGGAATCGAAACGGTATTTGGAAAGCCATACAATTTACCTCAATTTAGGATAGACTCTTGAATTATGAGGAGTCAAAATAGGATGAACGGATCATATATATATATATGCATGAGTTCGAATCCCGGCCAGGGAAGAACAAAATACAGATCTAACATTGTTGTGCTGTTATTTATACGAATTATGTATACAGAATGTGTTTTCAGCCTTGTATCACCATCACTGGTGATCCGATGGTTAAAATCTGTCGTAGAGATGTCACTGGTTAAGACGTATATATATAATTACATTTTTTGTCAAGATAGAATATTTGTTCACAGATCTTTTGCCCTTCTTTATTCTTATTCAAATAAAGAGTTAAGATAATCACTGATTGAATTCTGATATAATTCCAAGGCCTTGCCAATACATACACATGTCGGTAACAATATCAATATAAAGAGGGAATCGTACTATAGTTCTGATAAAACACCAATATTTGTACAATTTTTTGTTATACCAAGAACGTATTTACAAATTTTAATATTTAGTTTCTCTTGTATATAAGAACATATCTTTCCTTTTTTGGGTCAGATTTATCAGTCCCCAATTTTCACAGCCATAAAGTAAGATTGGCTTTATAGTATGATCAAAAATGTGTAAAATGGTTGGAACAGATGGCACTGCTGATTTTATACTCATATAAAATTTAAAACTAGCTTTGAGTCCCTTTTCATACAATTTTTTTTTTTTTTTTTTGCTTCATTGAACTTGCCATTGTTACACATGAACAGCCCAAGATATTTATAAGATTTAACACTTTCTATATCATTCTGTCCTATACAAAAATCTTCTGTAAGCAACCGACCATTTCTATTAAAAGTAATAACTTTGGTCTTTTTGACACCATTCTTTACAGTATTTAGATAAAATTGTAAATTGGTCTTCTAATCCTTGTTTAGAGTTTGAAAGTAAAACTAAATAAAAGAAGGCATGGGATTTTTGAATTATCTAAAGTAACACACTCACAGTTACCAGTTACTTTCTATGACTGAAGGTAGCCCATTAATAAATAATTAAAACAAATTTGGAATTAAAACATCGCCTTCACGTACACCATTAACCTTTGAATTGAAGAAGTTAGTCATCTTCTGATCAAATCTAACATATAAGTTATCTTTGTTGCATGTACATGTTCAAAATTCTATAAAAATAACCATCTATATTATGATGTAACAAGTTTAACATAATACAAACGTGAACAATTGCAACTCTATCAAAAGCTTTTCGAAAATCAACAAAACATGAATATAATTTGCTGTTGCCACAATACAAATATTCATCTATTATTTATTTTAGCACAAATATATGTTCTTGATTTTTTACAGAATACAATTTGGGTTTCGTGTATTAATTTATTTTCTAACAGAAATTTGTTCAGTCTATTGTTCATTATGGTATTAAAAAGCTTACCAATACTATTGTTAATAGCAATGCCCCTGTAGTTCTCTGGTTTTCCAGGGTCATCAGACTTATACAAAGGACGAATAAAACTTTCTGATAAAATATTAATAATAACTGAGATCTAAAAATTGCATTGAATACTTTAAAAAAACATTTATTCATGTAAGTTTGAGATGCTAGTTACTTATGTTGTCTAAACCTGCACATTTACCCCCTTTTAGTGTACTTTTTGAAGTTCAGAAATAGAAATTTCAAAATCAAGTGGGGAAAAGCTTCCTATATTGTTTTGAACTTCTTTCAGTTTTCTTATAATTTCATCAACTCTGTCAGATGTATCTGGGGAGATGGAAGTTAATTTTGAAAAATAATTAAACCATGTTTTTCCATCAATCGCATTTTCATTTGAAGACTTTTCTCTTCTCGCAATGAAGTAACAAGAGGCCAATATTCCTTTGAATTATCAGAGTGTAAATTTTCCAGATAGTCTAAGATACTCTGTTTGAACTCTTTCCTGTTCCCTTTCCTTAATTTTGCATATTTTTTATTTAATTTGAAAAATGATCCACGCACAAGAGGATCTTTGGGGAACTTGGACATAAGAATGGCCTTGTCATTTACAGCCTTTTTTACAGGCATTAGGGTCTTGGTCAAACCATTTTTTTTTATAGTGCTTTTGTGATTTCATTTTTTTTCTTCAAAGAAAGTTTGCACACATTTTCAAAAATTAAATGAATTTTAGAGGTTGCCAAATCAATATTTTCTTAGGCAAGATTAATTTTATCATTCATAAATTCCTCTTTATATTTCTTTTTGGATAACTAGTCGACAAAAAGTCTCTTGAAATCTTATCCGACCATTAACGTGAAGGAAAATCTAATAAACCTTTTTTTTGGGGGGTTCTTTTTCATAGCTTGCCAAAACTCTGAAAGATATTTTACAATGACAGTCAGACAGATTTGGTAAAAAATCATTAACCTGCATATATCAGTTTAATATTTATGATAATTATTGATTCTTACACAATTACAAAGTCCACAACACTGCAACAATTTGGTTTAAAACATGTATAGTTCCCATTACTATTTCAACAGCATCTGTCATTCAATATTCTTAATTGGTTGCATATACATAATTCTGCAGTTTGTCAATCGATTCGAATTTTGACTGAAATAATTTGGATTGTTGAATGGTTATCTTCTCTAAAGCGTCATCAAAGTTTTTCTCCATTTGTTCATATATTTCAAGAAACATTGCGCTACCACTTTTCAGGCTCATCATCATAAGTTTAAACAGAGACATATAATACATTATAATGTATTATATGTCTCTGGTTTAAACCAGATACATTTTACTGCTAGTATATTTATGAGGGGCCCTCATTTCTGTCACAGAAATATATATATACTACTTAACTTTTCTGTATATATATATATATATATATATATATATATCTAAAAAAAAAACCGAAAATAATTGAAATTAAAAGAAAACAAAAAACTAACGGATTTTGGTAAAAGAGTAGGGCTAAAAAAAAATTGTCCTGTCCACAAGTAGCTATGATTTATTCCAATTAAATGATTCTTAAATATGGTTTCGATTGAACTAATTGATCGAAATAGATCTCTCCGACGTGCGCGTATTTTTTTGTAATTTCCCGCGAAATTGACTTCAAAAGGTTCGGATAGTCACTTGCATTGTAAAATGGCGGACGTCAACATTGGCAATGGGGATGATGAAATTGTTGGACCAGACAAAAAGAAGCAGAAGACATCAACATCTATTAAGTAAACATGAGAATTTAAAAGTTTCAAATATAACATGGATGAACTTTTCACTGGTTCTGTTTCCTTTTGCTTAGCCGAACAGAGTAAATCCAAAGGACCACGTGGCTAGATTAGCTGTCGTCAATAAAACCCGGTCACGAAATAGACTGATCCTCCTTATTTGCATATTGCTATATATCTACCGAAGTCTACTTTAAATAATCTCTCTCTATCAAACAGCTGAAATGGCAAGGTTGTGTAATTATATAACTGATCATATCCTGGTCAATATATAGTAACAGATAAGTCCAACTACCGAACTTTATTTTCAAAGTATAGCACTATAAAGTACAACTTTTTGTTTAGCTTCCAAATTTTACGAATAAAGCAGGTGGACAACTACCCCGGTTGGAAATAGTAATTTGAATGATGGATAATATCAATTTTTAAATGTGTTGTACACCTATAATTTCATGTCATTTACTTCAAAGTTAAACATTTTTATTCCATGGACATGGTATTTGTTATAGCCAGAGACATATATACACCTATGTCTCTGTTATAGCTGTGTGGATAAGATTATCAACCTTTAGCAAAGTTGGATGTCTTTTTTTAGTTTGCAAATTAGTACCTGATAAAAGAAAATATAGCATTCTTAAACAATTAACAAATGACATTATTGGTTTCAAATAGTTTACTTTTAAGATTCACTTTTTAACTTGCATACAATTGATTGATTGATTGTTGGTTGCTTAATTAACATCTACATGTTAAATATTTATACTTTGATATATGTGAGAGGAGTTGGTGTTAATTCAAGCAGAGACATATAATATAATATTATATGTATTATATTATGTCTCTGATTCAAGGAATTGTACATATTTATCTTTTTTGTAATCAGAAAAATAATACTTATATATATAAATGTAAAGTCTATGGACCTTTATAAAGTATTATAAAAATTATGAAAGAAATTGAAACAGATTATTGCTTACATTGCAAATGCAGAAGTACTGACAGTAAAAACATAAATATTCCTACTTATTACCTTTTCTATTGTTTTTATTATTATCTATAATTGTTTTTTGCATTTCAGGGAAGGTATTTTACTTGGTTATGGTAACCCACTCCTAGATATCTCTGTTAATGGAACAGAAGAATTTCTTCAAAAGTAAGTACTGCAGTACATATATATATACAACATACTGTTATAAAATATGCAATCTGAACCACTGACACACTATGGAAGTGTGATTGTGGCCAACTATTTTTAGGGTACCACCTTATTTTAAAGTATGGTTTAGTTGGTAATATTAGATTTTACATATATAGTGTACAAAAAAAACCAACACTTATTTTTTTGATATTGAAACAAATGTTTACTATGGAAATGTACCCAGTAATGAAAATGTAGCAATATTGTTTTTTTATGATAAAATTATGAATACGAATAAAAGATCAATAGTTAATGAATATGTATAAAACAACAGAATATGTGACTCTTTTTAAGTTGAGTTTCATTCTACCCAATATCTTTTCATTTTTGTCTAGCCTGCAGCATTTATGTCGTGAAAAGTGAGACATAGCAATACATTGTATTAGATTCTGTCGGTGGCATCATCATTTAGGTTCAGTCTGTGGTTAAAGTTTTTTTAGACATCAATAACTTTGTCAAACCCTCATGGAATTTTATGAAATTTGGACAGAAGCTTGTTAATGACCAAAATACAGTATCTAAAGCAAAATTTTGAAAATATATTCTTATTATACCCCACTCAACGAGTCAGTCAGTCAGTCAGTCCGTCAGTCCTGTTTCTTGTCATCGCAACTCCTCTCAAACCACACAACAGAATTTCACGAAACCTTTTTAGATAATAAGGACATACTATGTAGTTGTGCATATCGACAGGAAATTATGATTCAATTTTTTTTCCAGGAGTTACGCCCCTTTGAACTTATTTACTTTAATGTACTACTGCAACAGTTTGTCATGGCAACTCCTCTCAAACCACACAACACAATTTCATGAAACCTTTTCAGTTAATAAGGACATACTATGTAGATGTGCATATCGACAGGAAATTACGATTCAATTTTTTTTCCAGGAGTTACGCCCCTTTGAACTTATTTGCCCAATATACTACTGCAACCTTTTGTCATCGCAACTCCTCTCAAACCACACAACAGAATTTCATGAAACTGTGTAGATAATAAGGACATACTATGAAGATGTGCATATCGACAGGAAATTATGATTCAATTTTTTTTCCAGGAGTTACGCCCCTTTGAACTTATTTGCCCAATATACTACTGCAACCTTTTGTCATCGCAACTCCTCTCAAACCACACAACAGAATTTCATGAAACCTTTTCTGATAATAAGGACATACTAACTACGTAGATGTGCATATCGACAGGAAATTAAGATTCAATTTTTTTTCCAGGAGTTACGCCCCTTTGAACTTATTTGCCCAATATACTACTGCAACCTTTTGTCATCGCAACTCCTCTCAAACCATACAACAGAATTTCATGAAACCTTTTCTGATAATAAGGACATACTACGTAGATGTGCATATCGACAGGAAATTAAGATTCAATTTTTTTTCCAGGAGTTACGCCCCTTTGAACTTATTTGCCCAATATACTACTGCAACCTTTTGTCATCGCAACTCCTCTCAAACCACACAACAGAATTTCATGAAACTGTGTAGATAATAAGGACATACTATGTAGATGTGCATATTGACAGGAAATTATGATTCAATTTTTATACGCCCGTTTACGGGACGTATTATGGTATACCGTTGTCCGTCTGTCCGTCCGTCCGTCTGTCCGTCCGTCTGTCCGTCGTCAACATGTCGGACATTAACTCAAAATTGCTTAAACCAATTTGCATAAAACTTTGATGAATTGTTTATATCTATTGACGTGAGCTCCCTTTCGTTTTTTATAAAATTTAGATTTTACGTTTCCGAGTTGTGGGGTTTTATTCATTAAAAAAAGGGGGATTTTCCAGTTTTCGGACAATAAGTCAAGAATGCTTTCACCAACTTGCAAGAAATTGTGGTGAATTGTTTATATCTATTGACATGAGCTCCCTTTTGATTTTTATAAATTTTAGATTTTACGTTTCCGAGTTACGGGGTTTTATTCATAAAAAAAGGGGGGACTTTCCAGTTATCAGACAAAAACTCACAAATGCTTTCAGCAATTCTTATGAAACTTTGGTGAATTGTTTGTATGTATTGATGTAAGCTCCCTTTAGAATTTTATAAATTTTACATTTTACATTTCTGAGTTATGGGGTTTTATTCATTAAAAAGGGGTGATTTTCCAGTTTTCTGACAATAACTCAAAAATGCTGTCACCAATTCTCATGAAACTTTGGTGAATTGTTTATATCTATTGATGTAAGCTCCCTTTTTATTTTCATAAATTTCTAATATGACATTGAGAATTAATTATACTTTATTTGTTTATAGTCTGACAACAGATTTACTAAGTATTGCACAACAGCAAGAAATCTTTAATTGAACATAAATTCAATTCATATAACCAATTTCAAGTTCTTTGAATACATTTATTCAGACACCTATAATATGTCAAATATTTGATTACAATCCAAATTCAGACCTGAATCAAGCTTGAATATTGTGTCCATTTTTGCCCCAACTGTTCAGGGTTGGACCTCTGCGGGCGTATCTAGCTGCGCTCAGCGAAGCAGTTTATTTTTTCTGATACAATTTTTTTTTCTTACACTTATTTTATTTCTCCAATGACAATGTGGGGACGTGGGGTATGTGAGCGCGCCCACTAAGGTTCTTTAATTTTCAGTATTTTTCTGATAGATGCCTGATGGACTTAGTTTTTTACAGAAAACATTTACAGACAGTCTGGGATTAAATTTTTATGACATGATAAGTTTGTAAACTTCATGGATTGTTATGAAACTTGGACAGAAGCTAATCTTCAATACCAAGATATAGCATCTAAAGAAAAACTTTGAATTTCTTTTCAAATTCTGTATTTTACTGATAAATGGACTCACTTTTTAAGTCAACATTACACTTTTACAATGACAGCAGCAATCGTAGGCAACACACAGGGTTCGGTGTTTAATTTCCTTACAAGTTTAATTAATTGTATCCTAGTATTTCAGCATAATTCCTCAATTCATTACATTTGTACTAATAAAAAATGTGTCTATTTTATTTTCAAGATATGACTTAAAACCAGACGATGCTATTTTGGCAGAAGACAAACACAAGTCCATGTAAGTATTATATTTACATCACTTGGTTTCTTTTCAAAATGGATGACCTGCAACTAGATTTTGGCAAGAAGGTTTTGCATTTGGCCAGCAGATTTTAAAAGAAAAATATTTATTTAATAAAAGTTTCTGCATGTAGTTTTGGTTAAGTGTAGAATAAATTGGTTGAATAAGGAACAGGTCAATACATCATATTGTAACGGGAGTGGAGTTTCCACTGGCTTCGTTTTCCCGTTGTCTACCCAAGTTCTGTGATATTGGACAACTAAAACCACGTAATATATAAACAAGATGTTTATTAAGAGACATACGTTATGGTTGAATATAAGTTACATACAAGAATAATAAAATATATGGTGGTGGCTAGTCTACTTGTCATTGTAAAGTTCCATATAAATTTGCAAGCCAAACAGTATGAGCGTCTGCTCATTTCAAATCCTAAGTGTAGACTGCCCTGAACCCGGTGAGGGACGTCATACTTATAGTTCCTAGGGACAACGAGCCCGGCTGGGCCGGATGTCTGGCACTTGCAAGAGGCAGGAAGTCCAGACAAGAATTATTACATGGCCGGTCTCAGAAGAAAGAGTTACGGAACTATTAATAATACTAACATTAACCAATTTCCCCAAATAAATAGTATAATTAACAAGTAAACAAAGTGACCACCACTACACTATATTCAATCTAAATATATCCTTTTCATAAAATACCTTTTTTATTGTATTCCACCAAATTGTTTGTATACATTTTAAAGCAAGCAGTTGATATGTTTTTGAGATTAAAAATCTTCCATTTCTAATGATATAGGTAATAGAAACTCATCTCCAAGATACATAAAACAAAACAATGAGTTTTACTTTTATCCAAATTCAGTGTTTGGTGAACCAACATTTGATGTTCTACAAAGTAACTATCAGGGAATGTAGTATGCAGGGTCCATTTTATTAGATAAACTCTAAAACTTTCATAATACGACAACACTTTGTAGGATCATTATGTACTTTTATTTGATGAACAAGTTTCAGTGTGTGGAGACACTGTCACCAGGACAATTTTCTACATAGTTAGTGACCTTAAGTAGCTTTGTATGTATTCATTAAGTGATGACATAATTGATTATTGAAACTATTTACAATGTGAATAACATGAATGAGTAAAAGTGAGGATTATATAAACTGTGTCCATCCATTATTCATTTCATATTCGTCAATGATAAGAATTATGATGATAATCTTCACAGGTATGATGACATGGCCAAGACATATGCAGATCATGTGGAATATATACCAGGAGGAGCAACATTGAATGCCATAAAATTAGCACAGGTAAGATAATCAGCTGAAATCAGGATGTTTATTGTGTGAAACGATGACAGTATACAAGTGTTGACAATACAATGATTTATCAACCTCAAAGATATATTCACCAAGGCCAATGGCTGAAGGTGAATGTCATATCTCTGGGGTTGATAAATCAATGTATCAATTGAAATCAAAAGTCAACAATTGTTTTATAATATGACTTTTTATCCTTCTCCAATTTTCTAGTATTTACTCAAGATTTTTTTATATATCGATCATCTGCTTTTGCTAATTTTCATAATTTGAAAAATTCAATATAAAGGTTTACTAAAAAAATACACTGAAAACAAAAAGAAGAGAAAAATACACCAAAAAAAGAAGAAAAATGGGAATTTACATTGACGTTGCCATGGAATATCTATATTTAGGTACATGGACGCTGTTCCAAATCTTATATTAATCTCTCGCGGTGAATATGATGTTTTATCAAAGAGGATTTCCTATGCTTTTAGCCAATGAGAAAACAGAAAATTTATAGTCATATGATAAAACTTTTTAGCACTACATATTTTTGAAATAATATTGGTTAAATGAATAAAGGAAGATTGGGCGTATACCAATGAAACATCAACTCAATGACAAAAATAACCCAATGCCATCTAGAGGGAACTAGCAGACTTTAACAATAGACATATGTCTACACAATATTTCAAGCTTTTAAATCATCCTGTCTTTAAAAGTTATTTGAATAAATCAAAGATCTTCCATTAACACCTAATTCTCCAGATAACTCTGCAAATTTGTAAGAATTTTTTGTTTGTTTGCTTAACTTCCAGTTAAAAACATTCCATTTATATATACATTACATGTACAAGAAACTTAAAATTGAGGTTGATTCTTCAAGGAACTTTAGAATTAAAAATTAATTTTTTTTCTGTTGGAAGAATTTTACTTTGATAAAAAACACAACAATGACACATATTTTTAATAAAATTACTGGTCTTTGACCCTTTAATGCTTTTGTTTACTTTTGGACAAAAGCTTGACATATCCTAGCTAAAACAATGCACAGAAAGAGATCATTATTGTAATTTTAGGAAAATACAAAATAAACCAATGTGCTGCCTCTATGTTGGTAAAATATGTACCTTTCATATTCAGCATTGACCCGATGTCTCATCTTTTGCAATTTAGAGCAAAGCAGTTCCTTTGGAATATATTTCCAACTTGACAGTTAGATTTTGAAATTTTAAAACATCTTTCCGGGTGTTTTGAATATTTGAAAATTTTACAGTTGTGCGTTCAGAAACATATTTCATGTGATTAAGTGATAGATTTTATGGTTATCCTGTAGATATGCAGATTTTTTCGTAACATCTTTAGACATGTTACTTTTTCATGCACAGAATAGCAAAGACATTTTACTAAGAAAAATAAACAATTCTCAGCCTGTTTTACAAATGTAAAATTTTTACAAAAGTAAAAGGACCTGTAATTTGATAAGGCCTGTTCCATTAAAATGTATTTGGGAGAGTATGAAGTGAAGTTTAATTATTGAATGTGGGTTATGGGTCTTTTTTCAGTATGCGTCTATTACCATTATGCAAAATTATCTAAAAAATGGTTCTTGGTTGTAGGGATATTTTGAAAGTCCCTTCCTACCTTCCCACATACATTTTAATGGAATAGCCCTAAACAAAATTCAAACAAACTGATTGCATTCATTTGTCATCTTGTTTACGCAGTCAGCTTTAGCCTTATAAATCATGTAAATAAGTTCTAATTTTTCAAACATAATTTATATTTGATATAGTGGTTGTTGAGAGTTCCTGATGCCACATCATTCTTTGGTTGTATAAAAAAAGATGAGTTTGGCAATATATTGGAGAAAAAGTCGAAGGAAATTGGTGTTAATGTTAAATTTCAATATACAGAAAAAGAATCAACAGGCACTTGTGCTGTCATTGTTACTGGAAAAAACAGGTAAGACTTATAAGAAACTATACATACATGTATAAGATGGTCAAGTTTTTGCCTAATACATATAATCTTGAAAACTATGATAGATAAGTAGAAACTGTAAACAGCAAAAGTGACCAGCAATACAAAATCTACAAAATGCCAGTATGACCAAAACTGTTTGATGACACCTTATAGGAGTTATTGCCCTTAAATGAAGATATTTTGCTAATTTTCAAGTTTTTGTCAATTATCTTAAAAACTTATTTGATCTATTCTTGTCTTTTATATTAAAAACTATGATAGATCGGTAGAAACTGTAAATAAGATCAGCAAATCAAAACATATTTATGACAGGTGAGAGATTCAGTCTCACTACTGAGAAAGAAAAAATCATCAAGAGGACAAATAAAGCTTAGCATAGTGATGTATTTGTGCTGCAAAAAAAGTAATTTTTCATAATTTTACATACATCAATCAAACTGAAAGATTTGGACATCAGACTCTGGTGACCCCAACATTTTCATTTTATTAAAAACTGAAATGTTCACAGCTATTTCATATCATTTTTAAACAGAACTTGAGAAAACACAATTTAAAGTAATTAAAATGCATTTATTTTTTCCCCTTTTTATGCACATTCTATACATTTATAGATGTATTTCATAAATCTAAATCGCCGCGATATAGCCTTTCTGTGCTAATGCGGCGTAAAGCAAACAACAACAACAATCATAAATCTAAAATTTATTGTATTTTTGATAAACATGAATATTACATCTATCATTTTTCTATATTTAGATACAGTTCAATAAGTTCTAAATGCATTAAAGATTTCATTCAATACTGCCAAATTATGTATACTTTGTTTTAAAGGCGCACATTTTTACTGAGACATTACAATTGCAAAAGGACTGGCTTCATATCCAAAAAGATACATTTGTACCATGTTTCTTTACATAACTACTATTTTCTGTACAGTTTAAGTACAAACTAATATAATAAGTTTTAAGTGGAAAGAATAGAAAAGGAGGTCTTTCATGACAAAATTCACACAAACTTTGACAGTTTCTATAGAAGCAAAATTCGACATAAGAATAAAATTGGATTGAGAAATTGTCACAACTTTAATGTTGTGTTATGTTATCCATACAAGCTTCTTGTCAGTCCTATGCATTCCATGAACGGGTCTATTATTTTTTTTCAATAAAAGTACTGAATTTTATAGTATTTTTATATGATGATGTTAATGAATTGTTTAAAGAATTTATTTTAAGTATTATCAGGAAATAATATAATAAGTGTTTATGGTATAACAGGTGACAAGTGTAAATGGTCATTTCAAAGATAAAGATGATTTTGTCATATTTCTTTCAAAGGAGTTTTTTTCTTTTTCAGATCAATGTGTGCAAATTTAGCTGCAGCAAACCTTTTCACAGAGGATCATTTGAATAATTCAGAAAATTGGTCTTTGGTAGAAAAGGCCCAGTTTTATTACATCGCTGTAAGTTATCTATTTTCCAAGATATCTGTTTATTAACACTTATAAGAAACTTCAAAACAGAATCAATTATTATACATTTCTAGAGAACCTGACTATTTATAGTTTCTTCAAACAAGAGAAACTTGTGTCATTGTTTTAAAAAATGATATTTTTAACTTAAAACTGAAAAGTATTGTCAAAGAAAGTGCAACCATTTCATAATTTTGAAAAAATAACTATTGGTGTTCAATTCAGATTAATGTAGAAAATTGATAAAAATGATTTATTACAAAAAAGTTACTTAATTGAGTGATTTTTGTTGTTTTACAGGGATTTCCATTAACTGTTTCACCACCATCTGTCCTTAGAATAGCTAAACATTCCCATGAGAAGAAGAAAACATTTTGTATGAATTTGTCAGCACCATTTTTATGTCAGTTTTTTAAAGACCCAATGTTACAGACATTACCATACGTAGATATACTGTTCGGCAACGAAACTGTAAGTAAAGTCCTTTATCCAAATGTGAGACTTTCTATTACAGCTGTTAAAAAAAAAGATGGAATATAATTAGCATGTTGTATTGAAGTTATTGATCATTTACTTGTAGAGTTAGTTGTTCAATCGTATTGGCATAGAATATTAATGACAATTTTTTTTTAAGTTACTTGATTGAGTGCATTTTTGTTGTTGTACATGGATTTCTGTTAACATTTTCACCACCATTTATCTTCAAAATAGCTCAAAATTCCCTTTGTAGTTAAGGTCCACATAAAAGATCTGGTAGCATGGGCCAAAATAAAAATATTGTATGTTTGCCCAAACACGACCGACCCAAAAAAAAACCGCTGACTCAAATTCTTTTTTTTGCTGTTTTTTTGAAGAATTTTTTTTTTCGTGTCCGCTCCGTCATCGTATAAAACTTAATGTTCGTCGTCTTTGCACTTGAAAGTAACTGTGAATAAGATTAAAAGAAAGTGTGTAAGAGACGCAGTTAATCCATATTCGATGTTCTTGGTTTTTATACGCCCGTTTACGGGACGTATTATGGTATACCGTTGTACGTCCGTCTGTCCGTCCGTCCGTCGTCAACATGTCGGACATTAACTCAAAAACGCTTTAACCAATTTGCTTAAAACTTTGGTGAATTGTTTATATCTATTGACGTGAGCTCCCTTTCGTTTTTTATAAATTTTAGATTTTACGTTTCCGAGTTATGGGGTTTTATTCATTAAAAAAAGGGGGATTTTCCAGTTTTCCTACAATAACTCAAGAATGCTTGCACCAACTTGCAAGAAATTTTGGTTAATTGTTTATATCTATTGACATGAGCTCCCTTTGGATTTTTATAAATTTTAGATTTTACGTTTCCGAGTTATGGGGTTTTATTTATAAAAAAAAAGGGGGATTTTCCAGTTTTCGGACAATAACTCAAAAATGCTTTCAGCAGTTCTCATGAAACTTTGATGAATTGTTGATATCTAATGATGTAAGCTCCCTTTAGAATTTTATAAATTTTAGATTTTACATTTCCGAATTATGGGGTTTATTCATTAAAAAAGGGGGGATTTTCCAGTTTTCAGACAAAAACTCAAAAATGCTTTCAGCAATTCGTATGAAACTTTGATAAACTGTTTATATCTATTGATGTAAGCTCCCTTTAGAATTTTATAAATTTTATTTGTTTATAGTCTGACAACAGATTTACTAAGCATTGCGCAACAGCACAGTGTATTGCACAACAGCAAGAAATCTTTAATTGAATATAAATTCAATTCATATAACCAACTTCAAGTTCTTTGACTACATTTATTCAGGAACCTATAATAGATGTATGTCAAATATTTAATTACAATCCAAATTCAGACCTGTATCAAGCTTGAATATCGTGTCCATTTTTGCCCCAACTGTTCAGGGTTAGACCTCTGCGGGCGTATCCAGCTGCGCTCAGCGAAGCAGTTTATTATCTTCTGATTTAACGAACGTAAAGAAGTAAAACGTGAAAATGGCAGACAGTTTTTTTACGCTGTCGTCGTCTGTACTACTTAAAATAAACCAAAAAATAAAGCCTATTGTGTCTAATAGGCTTTATCGCTTTAACAATAAGAAAACCTGGAATGATGTTTTTGATGAGGTTGCCCATCCTGATGAGATGGACATGCGGAAAACCGATGAAGTCGTTGATACTGTATCCGGCAAGAGTGGGCTATAAACTTTCGAGCCTGACATGAGTGAACCTATTGAGATTGTACAGGAATTTGACAATAAACTTAAGTTTGCTACTTTTACTGTGAAAAGATACCATTCTGAGTTGTTGAGTGATTTAATTCTATATAGTAGACTAATTTATTGGGGTCTTAAATTCATGGCTTTTGATTGTCTCTACAAAGGTTGGACGAAAAAAAAAGATATACTGTTTTAATATTTTCATGCAAATTCTGATTAAAAAAAAAAAGAATTTGCCTACCTACCTACCCACACCCAGTCATCATGGGTCGGGTTTTGGCAAACTGAAATATTTTTAATTTTGGCCCTGGTACTTTCATTTATCAATTTGTTTTGAAATGTTTATGATTGAACTCCCGTCTAATTGCCTGGAAGGATTTTTGGTCAGTTTTGCAGTTTTAACAGATTTTGCATTCATTTTTAATCATTCTAATTCTGTATTAGTAAATTTGTATATTTTTCTTATAGGAAGCAGAAACATTTGCAAAAGAAAATAACCTTGAGGTATGTGACTTTCCATTCTAACATGTATTTAGAAGGTCGTATGAATTTAGTTTTTTGAATTCCACAAACCCACTTGCCCTTAAGTCGTATGCCTTGTAGTTGCTGCTTATTGTGACTTGATTGTTACACAGCTTTACCATGACAGGTTCCAAATGCCTCAGAGGATAATAAATATATCACTCACTATTCACCTGCTGTGATTTTATTATAAGATTTATTTAAGTTGCAGTTGAACTTAGCCCTTTAGAGGAGCACTTTTTGTCTGGAGTTGGAAACCATTCTTAAAACACAAACTTATAAAGATAACATGTCATGTTGAATGTGTTAAATGTACTAATTGATATATTTAAATGACTTAAAACAATGATTATTTTGTCGCTTTCAAAACTATAATAAAACTACCTGACCTTAAGTTGGACAACAAATGTCTGATTTCTTGACATCAAAGTGGGCTGAACACCACATAAGGGTTTTCAACTAACAATTAACTATAAATTATATCATCCTGTTGCATTAATACTTATTATTAAGTGTATATTTTTAAATATGCTCTGCAAATTTCACATCTATGTAATAATAAAGAAATAAGATTTTAAAATATCTGACTTAAGGGGTGTGTTTGAAAAAGGGATTAGAAATCAGGTATTTCATATATAAATCTAAATTTGTTTCTCATTCTTTTTATTTGAATGCAAACTTATGCAGACAAATAATGGTACAAGGTTGTCATTTATATATTGGCAAGATGTAAAGTAAGCATATGTTTGAGGTGAGATTTATTTACATAGGTTATCATGATAGGGAAATGCTAGGTGATATTATGAAAGTTGATAAAGCAGAAGGTATTTGAACTGAGAATGTAAAAATATTTTCTAAAATACTCATGCAATTTACATTTAGCACAAACAATAACTCAGCAGAGAATACAAGTATATTTTATTTTTCTTTATTTCTTAGACTATAATTTAGTATATTTATTTTATTTTACAAGACAACAGATAGGAAAGAGATTGCAAAGAAGTTAGCAGGTTGGAAGAAAGAAAATACTTCAAAATCTCGAGTGGTTGTCATTACACAAGGAGAAGGAAATGTCATTGTTGCTAAAGGTAACTTTTGAAAATTATTATTGTAAGCTAATATTTTTACCATTGATTTTTTAAATAAGGTTACCTATTTTGTACAATCAACTCCTACAGTTTTCAACCCAAAGTCTACAAATTTTCAAGAATGTATATACCTTGAAGATGAACAAAATGTACACCTCATTTTGATTACTCATTTGAAAATTTTTTGCAGATTTCCCTAAAAGTAAAATTAAATTAACCCCCTTCAACATTCTGGATTGAGAGTACCCATTTTGTGTAATCAAGTCCTCATACTTTTCAATCTAGAGCCTTTCTAGATTTCTATATGTCTATACGTTGAGGATGTGCAAGGTTTAAAACTATAAATTAAATTTCAGATGACAAAGTTACAGAGTACCCAATTATACCTATAGCAGCAGATGATATTGTAGACACAAATGGTGCAGGTGATGCCTTTGTTGGGGGTAAGTGAATACTTCAGTATACCAAGATTGTTACATGTGCATTTAATACAGCAATAATTTGGTTTTTTTAGTATTTATGAGAGGAATAAAGTATATCCTTAAGTTATAGGCATTCCAATGGAGACAACACTAATCAACTTTAACAGCAGGGTTATGTTCTATTGTTTCCTATATTTAAAACATTATTTAAGACATTGAGAAGAGTTTTCATATTAACATCAGAAACTATTTTTAAAATCTTGAGACATAAGTTTCAAGTACTAAAAACATTTAAACAAGTTAAATGCAATTTAAGTGCCAGTCTTTGTAAGAATCAGGCAACTTAGAAGAATTTCAAAACATATTCCTATTTTGAAGTTGCCCTCATCCTGAGTTAAAAATGATAGGTCTTTTATTTCTGCATGTCTGGTTATTTGAGAAATCTCTAGATAACTTTCAGTTAGAATGATAGTAAATAAAGAAGTTAGCTCCCCTTAATTATTAAAATAATTTCTAGTGCATTTTAAACATATTTATATCATGAAATACCAGAACAGGAAAATAATTTGTACGCCATTATACATTTAGAACTTAAATTAATGTAAACTTGAGCTGGTTTTTGTTATACGACCGCAAAAAAATTTTGTGGTCGTATATTGGTATGACGTTGGCGTCGTCGTCGTCGTCTGGCGTCGTCGTCCGAATACATATTGGTTTTCGCACTCTAACTTTAGTTTAAGTGAATGGATCTTTTTGAAATTTGACCATAAGGTTAAATACCACAAAAGGAAGGTTGGGATTGATTTTGGGGGTTATGGTACCAACAGTTAAGGAATTAGGGGCCAAAAAGGGGCCAAAAATGAGCATTTTCTAGTTTCCAGACAATAACTGTGGAACGGTGTATGGATCTCTCTGAAATTATACTACAAGTTTCCATACCACAAAGGGATGGTTAGGATTTGCTTTGGGGGGTTATGGCTCAAACCGTTTAGGAATTAGGGGCAAAAAAGGGGGAAAAACAAGGTTGTCCTGGTTAATGGACAAATACTTTAGTACAAAACATAATTTAAAGCAGTGTAAGGGAGATAAATCAAATACATCATTGAAATTATCTCCCTTACACTGCTTTAAATTATGTATAAAGTAATGGTTAATGAACAATAAAGATAATCTAAAACAGTGTAAGGGAGGTAATCCAAATACAACGTTTTGGTTACTTCCCTTACACTGCTTTTAAATTATGTTTAAAGAAATGCATATTTATAAAGGAAGACCAGTAAAAATATCTGCAAATGTTTTCATCTTTTTTTTTTTACAAAAAAATCAATATGAAAGATTTGACACTATATTTTTATTAATTCTATTATAAAATAGATTAAGTTAGCACTATGGTAAATTTAAATGGGTAATTATGGTTGCCAACTCCATTGGAAATTTGAATTGAGATTATGACCATATCTTGAGGGAAAGATTTTTTTTGGGGGAAAAAGGGGGGGGGGATAAAAAGAAATTGTGGGGGGCCAATTTTTTCTCATTTCAGATTTCAGAAATTAAAAAGAATTATTCTTTAAATATTTTTTTTTTTTCAAATTTCAAATATTGAAAAATTTCAAGAAGTAATCTTTAATTGCACAGTATGGCGCATTAGATTTGTAAAATCTTTGATCACATTTATTTATTTGTTATGCCGAATCTAACAGTGTATTTAGATTTTTAATTTTGGGTCCAGTTTTCAAATTGGTCTACATTAATGTCCAAAGGGTCCAAAATTAAACTTTGTTTGATTTTAGCAAAAATTGAATATATGAGGTTCTTTGATATGCTGAATCTAAACATGTATTTAGATTTTTGATTTTTGGCCCAGTTTTCAAGTTGGTCCAAATTGGGGTCCAAAATTAAACTTTGTTTGATTTCAACAAAAATTGAATATATGGGGTTCTTTGATATGCTGAATCTAACCATGTATTTAGATTTTTTATTTGTGGACCCCGTTATCTAATTGGTTCATATTGAGGTCAAAAGGGTCCAAAATTAAACTTTGTTTGATTTCATCTAAAATTGAATTATTGGGGTTCTTTGATATTCCAAATCTAACCGTGTATTTAGGTTTTTAATTTTGGGTCCTGTTTTTTAAATTGGTCTACATTGAGGTCCAAAGGGTCCAAAATTAAACTTAGTTTGATTTTGACAAAAATTGAATTCTTGGGGTTATTTGATTTGCTGAATCTAAACATGTGTTTAGATTTTTGATTATGGGCCCAGTTTTCAAGTTGGTCCAAGATAGGGTCCAGTATTTAAACTTTTTTTGATTTCAACAAAAATTGAATATATGGGGTTCTTTGATATGCTGAATCTAAACATGTATTTAGATTTTTGATTATGGGCCCAGTTTTCAAGTTGGTCCAAATTGGGGTCCAAAATTAAACTTTGTTTGATTTCAACAAACATTGAATATATGAGGTTCTTTGATATGCTGAATCTAACCATTTATTTAGATTTTTTATTTGTAGGCCCCGCTATCAAATTGGTTCATATTGAGGTCAAAAGGGTCCAAAATTAAACTTTGTTTGATTTCATCGAAAATTGAATTATTGGGGTTCTTTGATATGCTAAATCTAACCGTGTTTTTAGATTTTTTGGGTCCCGTTTTTTAAATTGGTCTTCATTGAGGTCCAAAGGGTCCAAAATTAAACTTAGTTTGATTTTAACAAAAATTGAATTCTTGGGGTTCTTTGATATGCTGAATCTAAACATGTGTTTAGATTTTTGATTATGGGCCCAGTTTTCAAGTTGGTCCAAGTTGGGGTCCAAAATTAAACTTTTTTTGATTTCAACAAAAATTGAATATATGGGGTTCTTTGATATGCTGAATCTAACCATGAATTTAGATTTTTTATTTGTGGGCCCCGCTATCAAATTGGTTCATATTGAGGTCAAAAGGGTCCAAAATTAAACTTTGTTTGATTTCATCAAAAATTGAATTATTGGGGTTCTTTGATATTCCAAATCTAACCGTGTATTTAGATTTTTAATTTTAAGTCCCGTTTTTTAAATTGGTCTACATTAAGGTCCAAAGGGTCCAAAATTAAACTTAGTTTGATTTTAGCAAAAATTGAATTCATGGGGTTCTTTGATATGCTGAATCTAAACATGTGTTTAGATTTTTGATTATGGGCCCAGTTTTCAAGTTTGTCCAAGTTGGGGTTCAAAATTAAACTTTGTTTGATTTTAACAAAAATTGAATATATGGGGTTCTTTGATATGCTGAATCTAACCATGTATTTTGATTTTGGACATTGGACCATAATAGGTAAATTAAAAAAATTCAAGTTCTTAGACCACATTCTTTCTGTGTCAGAAACCTATGCTGTGTCAAATATTTAATAACAATCCAAATTCAGAGCTGTATCAAGCTTGAATGTTGTGTCCATACTTGCCCCAACTGTTCAGGGTTCGACCTCTGCGGTCGTATCAAGCTGCGCCCCAGCGAAGCATTTTATTTGTCATGTTTTCACCACTGTCTGAATCTAATCAGATTGGCACTCAATATCTGATTTTGATGTTAGCAAGAAAAAAGTGGGAGAAGTCAAGACAAACAACTCACTGATGATTGACTCCATTTGCTTATATCAATAAGGTCATTTGAACAAACTCACAAATTGTTTGTGAAAGCATGGATCAGGTTTAAAAAAAAATTGTTCTAGACATTTACATTGGAATATGTTTAAACAAAAAATTGGGGTAAGCTTATTGGTTGTCCAGCAGTTTCCGTTATTTGCATGTGTAAGTAGATATTTGCTCAGTTTTAACAATAGTTTACTTCTCAGAATGTTTCAAATAACATTTCTTTTAATTTGAATACTTTCAGGATATCTTGCTCAGCTAGTACAGGGGAAATCCATAGAAGAATGTGTTCGTTGTGGAAACTATTCAGCCAACTTAGTAATACAGCGATCGGGTTGTACCTTCCCAGAAAAGCCAAGTTTTCAATAACAGACTATTTAGGGAATTATGTTTTTTGTATGTCATTTAAATGGGTAAACATTCAGTGGGATTTAATATGTAAACTATAATTACTTGCTTTTATTATTAAGTAGTTTGGTATCAATGTCTTAAATTTAGATTCTAGTCTATAGAATTAAGATAAATACTTAAATATTCTTTTTTTAAGCATCAAGTGCATACATAAATTTGAAAAAAAATAGCAGCTCTGCATTATATAAAAGTAACATGTAAGAATGAATAATTATTTTTGAATTGTCTAAAAATCAAATTTTTTATATGAATGTAACTTTTTTCTACCTTTTTTCCACAATTTTCCAATAAAAGCACATTTTATAATTTATTTTTATAAAATTATAAATGTATATTCTCTGAAACTTACTGGTTGTAAAAGAAATTATCAAATTTCAATTTAACATATACTCATTTTAGATTCTCTGACAATGAATTCGAAATCATGTTGTAAATTTTAGAATTTAATGTGTACCTTATTTATTGCAAATGTTCAATAACGGACAATTAAAGATTGTTTCATGTTTGATTCTGTGCATTCTTGTTGTTAAATATTACTAGGGTAACTTAAAATGTGAAATTTGAATGAAGAGATTTAAGGATTTCATATTGTTCTCATGAATCAAAACATCGAATTAATTCCTGAATTTACAGTATTTGCAAAAAGTTGTATGTGGTAATAAAATTATTCAAATGATATTAAATATGTTCCAGTAGACCCTTATGGAGCAACTGTAGTCCTACACTAAGTAAAAACCTATTTAATCATTAGTCATTTCTGATAAGAAATTATGCTTTGACATCAGTTAGTGGATTTTTAAACATTTTCATGGCATTCAAACTGTAGGATTGCAAGTTAGACCTAAAGGGTCTTTATGGGCACAACAAATCAATGTTGTTATTTGTTATTATTTTTACAAGATGTTAGTTTATATGAACATATATTTATTACTCTTTAACATTTTTACAATCGCCGTACTGTTATTTTGGTCTTGAAGAAATATGCCTAAATTATAATGTTATTTGAAAATATTGACTTAAGTCCCTATTTGAATCAGTCTCTATTAGAATTAGTCCCTATTAGAATCAGTCCGAAGCAGTTCTGCTCAGAAACAACTTCAATATTTGTTTTAACATTTCAATAGTTCCAAAGATGAATATATTGTGTATGAAAAATTCAAACCATGTTTAGAATAAAGTTGACATTGAACGTGTCTGAAATTGAATAATGACTAGATAACAGGGAGGTGCTTAAGAATCTATTTATTTAGGTCTAACATGGTGGTTTATACATCATTTAGAATAATATGTGCCTTTTCTATTTCTTTTTTGTAGTATCAAATGTCTCAAAATGAAATTCAATAGAGGGTATACAAATAAATAAATGTTAAAGGATTTAATGTCATTCATTTCTGTCTGGCTACTACAAAGTTATGGAAGCTAGACCAGGCATACAGTTTCCAGCAGTGGCTTTAATGACAAATGGTAGTTTAATGTTATTTGCAGTTGAATTAGCATTGGCACATCTAATTTCGGTGGAGATTATTTGGCCACACCCCCTCAGTCAAAGTCAGATATCAAACTTTGATAATTTTGCTTAGTTAACTTGTTAAAAGTGTTGCAATTTAATTGTGCATATTCGACTTTGCAATCGAAATTACATACAGGCAAGACATATCTGTTTATTTTAGGAGCAACACAAATTGAATATTTATTCTACAGTTTTTGTCTCGCCTTGCGATTAAAGAGCAAGCCATAGGTGTTGTTTTTCCTGAGGAGGCGTCAACAGTTGTTCTTGTGATAGATCAATGATATTTTCTATAAAGTTGCATTACTATCAGTTTGACGATTATTTAGATGCACTGCCCCCCAGGTCATGTTCCAGTGACTTTGAATTAATCAGCAATTTTTTGCCGACAGGTGAGACATATCTCTGTGTCAACAGTTTATATCTTATTCTAACAAACGATGTAGGACACTTTATAGGTGATTAGATCATTTTGTAAACAAATGATAATTTTATGATATTGATGACAAATGTTGGTACACTATAGAACACAGAAAACATTTTAGGTCACATAAAATTCATTTTTCTTGCACAGGTAGACATGTATGCTGATGATACAGTGGTTGTGTATAAGTTGTCTAAAGCTTAATATGATTGAAGGTAGAACAACTAGTTAATCCTTATTCTGTATATAGATGGTCCATGATCTAAAGATTTCATTATGCATATGTCAGTTGTTATTGACTTTATTTTCCTGATTAGATTACTTAATAAAGTCACATTGATGAGTATGATATTATGTATAGTGGGAGAATTATCGCATATGAAATCTTTGTTGCCTGGATAGCACCTTCAATTCTTCTCAAATTTTTATAAAGGACCCGACTCATCAAAACCTTAGAAGAGTTTGAAATCAGAATGGGAATCATTTTTGAGTGAGACTTTTCGGGGTACAAGTTTTAGTTTTATTGCTGGTGATCAATATTTGTTTTTCACATTCAACAAATGAGTAAGAATTTCTCTGTTTGGCAATAGGAGCTACACCATAAACTCATGAATGTTGCCAGTATGTGTCCGTAAACACTTCACCTTTCATATGAATTCACAGAAATGTTAATTTAACAAAAAGGCTGCAGTGGGGGCATGAGGCATTCCTATCATACTGGCCCATAAAGTGAATTTCTAAATCACTTATTGAGTTTGAAGCTTTACACTCAGGACATCCCAAAATAATGACTTTCAGAGCCTACAATACCAAAATTTTTGTCTTTCCTGTTATATGTCATTTGTGAAGTAATGACACCAATTAATAATAGCAGACAGTCTGTAAGTTGCTTTTTTGGAATTTCCCTGCTGATCATACCTAATTATCTATAATTTATTATCATAATTATAATTTGCTGTCCCTTGGTAAAACCAAATACTTACCTGCGAAAATCTGTCAATTGATTTGCCTCAGGTAAACTAGAATTTCAATTTATTAATTGATTAATTTCAACCACACTTTGTTGGCATATTTCTTCAATTGTCTGTTTTGCTTAGATATATAAAACTTCATAAATAATTTCATTAAAATATATTATAACAGCTAATTGAAACTGAACTTGTTTACATAATACATTGTTTGGCACTTTGATAATACAACAAAGACCAATACTGTAAATATAAAAATATGAAGATGTGGTATGATTGCCAATGAGACAACTCTCCACAAGAGACCAAAAGACACAGAAATTAACAAATATAGGTCAACATACTGCCTTCAACAATGGGTAAAACCCATACTGCATAGTCAGCTATAAAAGGCTCCGAAATGACAAATGTAAAACAATTTCAACGAGAAAACTAACAGCCTTGTTTATGTACAAAATAATGGACGAAAAAAACAAATATGATATACAGCAACAAACGACAACCACTGAATTACAGGCTCCTGACTAGGGACAGGCACATACAGAATGTGGAGGGGTTGTACTTGTTTAAAGGCGCCAACCCTCCCCCTAACATGGGACAGTGGTGTAACAGTACAACATAAGAACAAACTAAAAATCAGTTGAAACGGGCTTAACTCATCAGATGGATACAAAGCAGAAATACATCTATCAAAAACACAAAAAGACACTAAATACAGATCTGAGAGTTCTTGCAGTTACTGACAGCTAGTTCAAAGCTGGGAACAGTATATCTAATATATATGTTCCTGTTCAAAGCCAATAACAACTTATAAAAAAAATCATGCATCTAAGACTAAAATATCAATAATCAGTACACATCCAATGGATTTAGTGTAAAGTCATTAACAGTCAGAGAAAAACATGACCTTGTGTCTGCACCTGTGTCACAGAGATGTTTTAGAAAAAACAGACTGCATTTCCATAAAGATGGGAAAATTTTCAAGTGCAACCAATCAAAATGCATGAATATGTTAGTTCCCATTATAGTTAAACAAATTCTCTTAGAATAATTTTTATATATAACACTGGAGCCAAATATTACCAATAATAGCAAGATTTCTGTAGTGCAAGTTTTTGCAAGATAAATGACATTAAAGTGATCTGCAGATGTTAACCTCTGCCTAAAGCAAATAAGTGATTCAATGAGAAATCAGAAGACTAGCAGATCTTCAATTTTTCCCGTAAAAAATAGAGAACTTCAGAAAAAAAATCCTGTTTGTAAACACTGCAAAGTAAAAAGAATCTTGAAGAAAACCGGTTTAGAATTATGAATGAAACAAACTTGATACCCTTTATAGCATTCAATATAAAAAAAATTTGAATAAGTTTCATACATGTGAAACCTGCCAAAAAACCCAATTCAGATCTGTTCATAAAAGAAGTTGCACATCTTCAATAAGTGCAACCAGAGACTAAGTTTCACACATTGGAAACCTGAAAAAATATAATTTAAATCTGTTTAGAATAGGAGGTGGCACCGTGCACCTATTCAATCAGTGTACAATCACTGTAGAAAGTTTGAATTATGCTGAAGGAAAACTGTTGGAACTACCAATGACACAAACTCTGTACCCACTATGCGTCTCAAACATACGGAGTGAATTGGTTACTAGACCTGCTGACGCCGGTCAAGTCAGACAGACTTGTATAAAAATTGTAAGCATAAAACTGCATTATGCTTGTTTTCTTGTGATGAAAAAAAGAGGCGGAAATCAAAGGGATATTCAAAACTCATTAGTCGAAAGAAAGACTGACAAAAATATGGCAAAAAAGCAAATAGCCAAACAACGGTGGCTGAACTATTGCATCACTCAAGTCAATCATCACATGTCATCATTGCTCTTTTGACTGTCACATTTACGTCAACTCCATTGAAACTGTGATCTTTATTTGAACCAAATTTGGCAGGAAGAAGTTCATGCACAACTTTTAAAAACTCGTGGCGATTCAATCTAAATAAAATTCAGATCATGTGTGTCCAAGCTTTCCTTGTAGGTAAAGGTTAAACACAGGATCTGTCTTTTAATTAGATTGGTGGGGATCTACAGCTTGATATAGCTGTACAGACCGCTGTCAGTTGTTAGATTGCTGTCTCATTGACGTAATCCCAACATCTCCGTTTATTAGTCATAGATAATATAGCACCACCCCAGAAGATAACAAAGTAAAAGGAAAACTTAGATGTTTGTGTAAAACGGCATAACTTAATAATTTTCCGAATGATTCATACCTTAGAAATAAACTGTACAGTATAAAAGTAATGGCTACAACATTCTACTCTGTATAATCTAATTATGGGATTAGATCATTTTTACATTCAAACAAAACTACACAATTAACTACTTCTAGATATAACTATTTTTATAAGACACAATTTTTGTTAAGATTCGGTCGTCAAGAATATGAAACATTAAGTTTTGAATTGAAAAAAATTGTCGTCAAGCTTTTGTTAATGTTCTAACTTAGGTTATCGTATTTGGGGGGAAATGACTGTCAAGCGGCCATCTATGACTTACCATTAATTAAAAACTTGATGTTCCGAGGTACTGGTAAGTTTGTTGTCAAGAATAACTATTGCTCCAATTAAGTGATCGTTTGGGGGAAATGATGACTGTCAAGTCATCTAAGTTAAGGTAATCGTTTGGGAAAAGATGACTGTCAAATTATTTATGACCTATATCATCACTTAAAAACTTGTCATGGTGTTGTCGATTTCTTTGCGACTAATATCTTTGTGATTTTACTATATACCGGGATGAGATGTCCCTCTCCCTCTTAAAAAATCATCTTTTCGTACCTATAGGATGAAAAACATGGCCGCAAACAAGTACTGATTTTGATTGTACTGTCTATATAAAGATTTATTCTTCTATGATTTGCAGAGGCGGAATTTTTTTTGGGGGGAGGTGGGGGGCTTGTGGAACTTCATTCATGGTTAATCCAGGATTTTTACCGGTTCCACTACAAACTTTGTCTACTTTTGTGGCCTGCAAGCCCCCTTTTTCAAAATCCTGGATCCGCATCTGGATTGAAATACCGATGCTGTGTCCACCCCCTCCGTTCTTTCTGTTCTGCTAATTTCTACATCTACACTTTCGAGGGCATGTTTCACTGCTATTGATAATCTGCGCGTCCTGAAAAGTCTTGCCAACAGAAAGTAAAACACAGTATTGTCGGGTCCTTGTATGCGAATTTTGGACACACTGTCATGATCTGTATTCTAAGCAGATTGTCTATGAAACTGCAAGACCCAAAGGCAATTATTCGAAAATTCCTGATGAATTTAATTCGAGCAACACATGTTGTGGGCATGAGAATTTTCACATCTTTTAACTATCATAGGTTCGGTATACTGCTGTTGGTGGACTATCGGTCGTGTCATTATTTATACTGCTATTATATTTCTCTGTTTTCAAAGGGGAATAAATATTAGG